TATGTTAAAATATTCTAAAATAACAGTCCTGCCTCAGTTTCTTCCTAGATTCCTCCACTCCCTACAATTGCTAGAGTGGATGAACAGGCAGGAGACTTCCCTTAGATGGATCAATATTCAATAATTTCAGGGGTAGGGAAGGCAATGGTCATACTAGAACAAGACAAGAGTTATTCTTTGATCTAAGTTTTGGTTACTGCCCTTAGGTCCCAAATAGGAGCTTTTTAGCCCAAAGAAAATATTTTTTTTCACACCAGCAAGCCATGCCTTGTAACAAAACATTTGTAAAAGGTAGGAAGAAATACAGCACAGAAAAATTAACCAATATATCTAGTGAGTCTAAAGATATATACAATATTCCATGCTTAGTCCTTTTTCTCATTTTTTCCTCACGTAAAAGCTTGGTAATTTTAATTATGGTGTTCAGTATCAGGTTTTGTTTTCACTTGCAGTGTTTAGTCATTATGTATATATATGCATATTTCTGTGCAGTTATAGTTTTAACAGGTTCTGCTTACTTCACTGCATCTGTTTGTGAATTCCCATGCTCCTCTGAATTTTTTATATTCATTGTTTTTAAAAAATAAATTTATTATTTATTTATTTTAAACATTCTTTTATTTTTGAATTTTGAGTTCTAAATTCTCTCCCTTACTCCCACCCCGCTTCCACCTGCTGAGAAGGCAGGCAAAATGATATCAGTTATACATATGAAATTATGGAAAACATTTCCAAATTAGCCATATCTCCAAAAAAAAGCAACAAAAAAGTAAAGTGAGAAAATTATACTTCAATCTGTACTCAGAGTTCATCAGTTTTCTCTCTGGAAGTAGACAGCATTTTTTTTTTGAGGAAATTTTTAAAAATTTTCTTCCAATTTTTAAACATTTTTTATTTAAAGTTTTGAGTTCCAAATTCTATCACTCCCTCACTCTCCTCCCATATCCTTGAGACAGTAAGCAAACAGTTATAGGTTATACTTGTGAAATTATGTAAAACATTTCCATATTAGTCATTTGATAGCATTTTTCATCATGGGTCCTTTGGAAATGTCTGCTCCTTTGCCATTCAGAATATCATATTCTAAGACTTCTGCTCTTTTGATATGGAAGCTGCTAAATCCCATATGAACCTGACAGTGGCTCCATGGTATTTGAATATTTTCCTTCTGGCTGCTCAGTATTTTCCCCTTGATCTGGGAGCTCTGGTATTTGACTATAATATTCCTGGGAGTTTTCATTTTAGGATCTCTTTCAGGAGGTGATCTGTGGATTCTTTTCAATTTGTATTTTACCATCTGGATCTAAGATAAAGTCAGTTTTTCTTTATGATTTCTTAAAATAAGATGTCTAAGTTCTTTCTTTGATCATGACTTTCAGGTACTTCAATAATTCTGAGATAATCTCTCCTCAGTTTATGTTTTCCAATGAGATGTTTTATATTTTCTTCTATTTTTTTTCATTCTTTTGATTTTCTTTCATTGAGTCTTAATGTTTCATGGAGTCATTAGCTTCCACTTGCCTAATTCTGATTTTTAAGGAATTATTTTCTTCAGTGAACTTTTGTGTCTTTTTTTTTCCATTTGGCTAATTCTAATTTTTAAGGAGTTCTTTTCTTCAGTGATTTTTTTTTTCTACTTCCTTTTCCATTTGCTCTATTCTGCTTTTTAAGGAGTTATTTTCTTTAGTGAATTTTTGTTCCTCTTTTACCATTAGGCCTATTCTGCTTTTTTTAAGATGTTATTTTCTTCAGTATTTTTTTTTTGCATCTCTTATCATAAGGCCAATTCTGTTTTTTGAAGTGTTATTTTATTCAGTATTTTTTGTGCCTTTCTTACCAAGCAGTTAATTCTGTTTTCATAATTTTTTGTATCACTGTAATTTCTTTCCCCAATTTTTCCTCTACCACTCTTATGGCTTTCTTTTACTTTTCCAGGAATTCTTGTTGGTCTTGGGTCCAATTTGCATTTTTCTTTGAGGCTTTGCTTGTAAATGTTTTCACATTGTTGTCGTCTTCTGAGTTTATGCTTTGGTCTTCCCTGCCACTGTAGTAACTTTTTATGGTCAAATTCTTTTTTCCCCCTCAGCCTATTTCTTGACTTTAAATTTTATGATAAAGTTGGGCTCTGTTCATCTTTGGGTGGGGATGCCCTATCCCAAGCTTTAGGCTTTTTTCTGTGCTGCTATTCTCAGAGATAGTTCTGGGAATCTACAAGATTTTGGTGCTTCCAAGGTGGTATGAATTATGGAGAGGTGTGGTCACTGCTTTCCTGATCTGCACTCTGGTCTTTACCCAGGAAGGGCCTCTCTTTCCCTGTAACCATAAGTGCTAGTGCTCTTCTCTATCTTGGAACTGTGACCCAGAACTGTCTGTGGGCAATAGAGTTGCCAATCAGTGTCAGCAAAAGCCCCCCTGAAATCTCTCTCTGACCAGTTGTCTAACCCCCTTACTGTCTCTGGGCTGTTGCTTTTGCTGACTCTAAGGACAACTGGTACTATTGTCTGGCTCCAGGCTAGCTCTCACCCTGATGTCACAGACCTCTCCTGCCAATCTCCTAAGCTGTCTTAGGCTGGAAAAATGTCTCACTTTGACCTTTTGTTGGGTTTGTGGCTCCAAAATTAGATTTGAGAAATTATTTTGAAGTTGTAGGAGGAGAATGTTGGGAGAGTTCAGCTCGGTTGCTTCCTGTCCTCCACAATCTTGGCTTCATCATCACATTCGTTGTTTTTTGCTGCACAGTAAAATGACATTTCAATGGGGTGGCACAGTGGATAGAGTGCCAGGCCTGGAGTGAGGAAGACTCATCTTCCTGAGTTCAAATCTGGCCTCAGACACTTACTAGCTGTGTGATCCTGGGCAAGACACTTCAGTCTGTGTCCTTCATTTTCCTCATTTATAAAATGAGCTGGAGAAGGAAATGATAAAACAATCCAGTATCTTTGCCAAGAAAACTCCAAATGGGGTCACAAAGAGTTGGACATGACTGGAATGACTGAATAAAATTTGGCATAAAATTTATGTACTACAATTGGCCTGGCCGTTCTCTAACTGATGAGCATCGACATTGTTTCCATTTTTTTTGCTACTATAAGCTGCTGTGAATATTTTGTTGTTTCTGGGACCTTTCTTTTCTAGCTCTGACCTCCCCGGGGTATATGCCCGGAAGTGGCATTTTTGGATCAAAGGCTAAGGATGTTTTAGTCACTTTCATAGTATAATTCCAGAAGGGCCAAACCTATTCACAGCTTGACTAATGTGTAATATACCATTTGTGTATTAGTGTGCCTGTCTTTCCATAACTCCTTCAATACTGACTATGCCCATCTTTCATCCTCTCTGATGAACTGCTTAGTATGAGGTAGAATCTGAATTGTTTTGATTGCATGTCTCTTATCACTGGTGATTTAGGGCATCTCAGAATACTAAATGGCAGAGTCAGGATTTGAACCCACGCATTCTGACTCCATATCCCATGTTCTTTGTGGTTTGAAGAGATCTTAGTGAGTATCTAGTTCAAGTCTCTACCATATACATGACTCCCCTTTTATAATGTTACCCCAAAGTTGTCATCTAGTCTCTATTTGAAAACTTCTGGAATTCTTATTACCCCATAAGGCAGCCCTTTACATGCATCATCATATTCAATTGTTACTAAGGTATTTCCTGTTTTGAGCTTGTATCACTCCTTGGGTTCAATCCATACCTGAGCTGGGTCAAGGGGGTCCACAGGCTGTGGCCCAGATTGGGCTGCCACTGCTACCAGTTCTGCTAACTGGTGAAACCTCTCTGAAGACTCTGATGGATCTTCTGGCCTCACCTGTTCCCTAGCACGCCCATCTCACACTACTCATTCTAAACTCAAAAGAGACACAGGCACAATGCATTCATAAACACATGGCAATTGGGTAAGGGAGTATGGTTTGCTGCTGCCCTTCTCTCCCTTGATAGATCATAGTAGTCTTCTTTACTAAAAAGCTCTCAGGAAGCTTCTATCCTTGAAGTTCTAGTCTGCAGTCAATTAAAAGGTTTTTAATTTTTGTTACCACATAGTACTGACCCCTGAGTCATCATAGCTGATAGGAGGCAGTAGGACACCTGCACATGCAGGAGGGGATGGGTCCCACCACCCGTGACTGAAGTAAGCATATCCCAAACTTCTGTTTATTTGCCTGAAATGCCACTTGGGCATTCTCCAAGGAGGGGAGTTGCAGGGGCAGCACTAGGAGCTGAAGTCCCCTCCTTAAAACTTGGTCCTATCAGAAACAAGATTTAGTCAAGGTCCCAGGACTATTAAGGGAAGATATAAGAGCTTCACAACAGTCAATCAATAAATCAATGAACGTTTATTAAGCACCTACCGTGAGCCAAGCACTGTATTAACACAATACACAGGATGAATCACCCCAATGGATAAAGGTATCTCTATATGGCTATTTTTTTAATATATGGGACAGGGTCTCATCAGACCAATATTCAGCTGTATAGCTGAGACAGCTAGGTGGTACAGTGGGCCTGGAGTCGGGGAAAACCTGAGTTTCACATCCAGCCTCAAATACATTTAGAGCTGCATTAACTTAAGGAAGTCATTTAACCTCTGTCTCAGTTTCCTCAACTGCAAAATGGAGATTATAATAGTACCTACGCCCATGTGCCTTATGAAGATCTAATGAAACATTTGTAAAAGGCTTAGCATATGTATAGCAGGTGCTTAAGAAATGGTAGATATTATTATCATTAAATTTTCCCTTATTCTGGACTATTAAGTACCAGTGTCAGTGATGTGCCCAGTAAGTCCTGCTAGTAATGTCATTTCAAATGCATATAACTTTCCCTTCATCTGAGCCGCAGCCTGTTCAGAGTAGTATAAAATTTTCTCCTGGGTCAGAAGAACTCAGGCCCTTGAAATCAGGATGCAAAGGCAAAGGGACACAGAGCATGTGCAGCGTACCATCCATAGAGGCACGCTCCGCCCTCCTCAGGGGGAGGGGGAAGAGGAAGGGAGGGGAAACGGAAGGGAAGGAGGTGGAGCCGGAGGTTGCACATCCGGAGAGGGAGGATCTGAGAACTCCAGACCCCAGAATGAGCAAACATGTGTTCTTAACGGGCCCCCCAGGTAAAGCCAGTTTCCCCGCCGTGCAGCAACCACAGTGGTCTAGGCCCCTTTCTAGATTCCCTTCCCATCTCTCCTGGTGCTCCTAAGTTCAGACAGCAGGCTCGAGCTGCTTGAAACGTGGAAAGGGAGTTAGGTTGTCGGCTCGCCCTCAGTCCTACCCGGGGGTGAATAGGACGGGCCCGCTGGGCACGCTTGGTTTAGATACGGATGCGCGCTCCCCACCTTCGCGTAGTTCCGTGCCCTAGCCTGCTCCATCGTGGCGTCCCCAGCCTCCCTGCCCCTGGCCGGCTTGGCAGCGGTGTGGGGGCTCCCCTCCCCGCCGGGGCTGCTGCTGCAGTGGCTCCAGGCTCCAGCTGCTCTGGATTCTCAGGGTCAAGAATCCAAACGGCGCCCCCCTCCCTAACCCGCCCCTGCGCGAGGTCAAGTTATTAATAGCGACGGTGATGAAAAGCAAAGCACTCCGAGTTGAGATTAAGGAAGCCCGGTCTCCAGGATTAGCTTCCTGGCTGGACTAGACCTCCTTATGTATCCTCCACTTCTGGCCCTTTTTGTGGGGGAGGGAGAAGTGATAAGCATAGATAATTAAACCATTAACATTTGTTGCTTTTCAATTAGTTCTCCGCTGGCAAGAGAGTGTGTGTGTAGTCGTAGTTAGAAAGCTGCGTTCAGCTACGTGGTCCAGGGGATAGAGCGCCAGACCTGGAATCAGGAAGACCTGAATTCACAATCAGCCAACCAAATTTCCTAGCTGGGTGTCTTGGGCAAGTCTCCCAGATCGCTGTCTGCCTCAGTTTCCTTATTTGTAAAATGAGGATCATAATAACAGGGTTGACGTGAGAATAAACTGTGATTATATTTGAAAAGCTCTCTGCAAACTTTAAAGCAATATAGAAATGCTAGCCATTATTAATACAGTCTCTAGCCTCTGTGATCTTGAGCAAGTCGCTTAATCTCTGACTGTTCTTGGCCACTAAGGCTAAATTGCAAGAAAGAAGCTGACTTACATGGAGAGAGAGAGAGAGAGAGACTTTCCTCACTGGGGAGTTAGTTCCCTCTATCGATATATAATCCCACAATGACAAGACGCTCATAGGACATGCTTGCATCAGTTTTCCTGGGAGCAGATACAGAAGCAAGAGTGATGGATCTTTGGGAATAGCAGAATGGAAAGGAAAGGGAATAAGCATTTATGTAGCACCTTATATGCCGACTACCTACAAGGTACTGTGCTAAGTAAGCAGATACCTCATTTGAGTGGTGTGGTTGCCAATCAAGGTTACAATCATGCTTGTGGTTTATATGGTCTAGGACTAGGTGATACAAAGGTGTGTGTATACATATATGTATATACACGTATAAAATATGATATATACATATGTATAAGATATACACAAATGTTTGTGTGCATGTGTAGTTGTTCAGTTGTATCTGACTCATTGTGACCCCACTGACTAGTCCATGGAGTTTTCTTGTAAAGGTGCTGGAGTGTTTTGTCATTTCCTTCTGTGTGTGTGTGTGTGTGTGTGTGTGTGTGTGTGTGTGTGTGTGTGATGGAGAGAGAGAGGGGAGAGGATAGGGATGGATGCATGGGGGATATAAGCTGTCTCCTCCTTTAGGGATGTGTGTTCCTTTAGTACAGAAAGACTGTTTTTGCTTTTTCTTTGTAAACCCGGCCTCCAGTATAGTGCTTGGCACATAGTAGGAGCTTAATAAATGCTTGTTGATCTATTGATTTTGAGCAAGAATACCTGGGTTGGAATCCTGGCTCAGCTGTGTGACTTCATGTCTCTTGAGCCTCAGTTTCTTTACCTCTGATAGGATCAGGATGGATTGAGTGAAGGGACTCTAAGGTCCCTATGATTTCAAGTAGTCTGATTACTATGAAGAAATTGTTTTCTTTGTTACTCATTTTGCCCAGTGGGCCTAAGAAATGAACACCGATTGACTAAAATGGTTTGATGTATTAGTGAGCTTTGTGTTGCTTCCTAATGGGTCATCTGATGCAGTTCCCAATTTTCTATGTAGTCTCATCCTGTGTTTCTTGTGTGTGTCTTTATGTAGATCTCCAAGAAGCATCCTCCCAAGGCATGAGATGGTTCTCTAGGTTTGTTTTTTTTTTAACCACCCCGAGTACCATTCAGGCTGTCTGTCTGTTATGATAGGTGTTCTTGCCTTAGGCCACTTATGAGGACATATGTCCTCACATGCTACAGGCCACTTCAAGCCACTGTTCCTCTTTCCATTGCTCAGCGGAAGTGCTGGATGTCTAGTATTTTTTCAGATAAAATCCTTTCTAACATAAATGATTATTTCCACTGTTTATTGATTACCCTTGTAGCAAAAGCTGAGTTTGAGGTTTAAAATTTAAAAAGAACCTAGGGGAAGACAAAAACATTTAAATACAAATTACAGGCAGTTCTCCAACTTTCAAATAGATTATATTCTAAAGTTTCATACCCATTTCCCCATAGACTTCATTTCAGTTCAGTGGACATTTATTAAGTAAGCACTTTTATATATGCAAAGGATTGTGTTAGGTTTTGGAGATACAAACATAAAAAATGATATTCCCTTCCTTCAGGGAGTTGTTCTGTTAGGTTCACTGTCCAGACTGGCCTTTAGATCTCTCTGACCAACCACTTAGTGGATCTGTTATGATAACAGTTGCTAGCATCACTAGCCAGAGTTAGGAATCATAAAATCAGAAGAGCTATGTTTTACCTGAGGGAAGACTTTTTTCTGTTTTTCTAGGTACAGTAAAACTTCAGAAGCACATGAACATAACAGTATGTTATCTTGTCCTGATGACATCCATTTGAGAAACATACTTTATAGTATAGTCATTTATATAGGAAAAATAAGGCACAGAGGTATTTAAGAATGATAATCCAAGTGATGCTTATTTAGAGTTAAAGCCAGAATTATAGCTTAGGTTTCTGACTCCTAAAATGGTGCTTTTACTAGATAATATTGTTTTCAAATTCTTTGAGGTACTTGAACTCTTGAATATCGGTTTCATGTTTTAGCAGCCTCAATCCTATAGGGATATTAGGGTGGAATCGGGCAGTTCCACCCTAATATAAAGGATATATAAAATTAAATGGTTCTGCCTTCATAAGTACTTTCAAGGAACCTTAAAGATTTTTTGAGGAATTTGGGCTAACCCTTATTTTTGCAGAATAGGTGGCCACCTCATTGATATTATTAGACATATGTAATATCAATTATAATTAAAATAAATCTATAAAATAAAAATAATAATAGCTTGCCATGTATAAAGTGTTTTAAAAATTCGCAGAGCACTGTCCTGTGAGTTAGGTAGATAGTGCAAAGAATATTATCCCAGTTTTACAGAGAAGGAAACTAACTCAGAGGTAAAAAATAATAGTAGTTGACATTTTTGAAGTATTGTGTAGATGACTGGAACAAGGTCACCCAGCTAAAAGTATAAGTTTTGAGATTAGAAATCGGGTGTCCTGACTCTTGATTCAGTATGCGCTTTGTAGCTCATGTCTTCTTAGCAGGCTTGGCCAGAATGATTGGAGTCACTCCATCAGGTCAAGTCTTGATGTCTCCAGAAAGCAAAATTTAAATGTTTCCAAGATGCTACATGACTCCTCGGTACTCATTGTTCGGCTAGCACAGCAGATGGTAATATAAACTAGCTTGTTACATTCCACACCCTGTAGGAATGGGCCAGAGGGCCAGAGGACATAGTATCCCTTGGATACCATGGGATTAGGGGGCTCAGAGGAAGGCATTGTAGTAGGGGGTTGGGGCTTGGCATCCTGAGTATACAAGACAAGGAGGAGCAGCGTGTAGAAGGAGAGACCTAGTTGAAAATTAATGCTTTTGAGAGACTTTGTCTCCTTTAGTTGGGAATTCAGTTTAATTCAACAAACAGTTACCTACCGAAGGCAAGGCATTGTGGTAGGCTTGCAGAGACAGAAATGGAGCACCCCTGTTTTCAAGGATCTCACTTTCAATTTCGGGATACAGCATGCATACAGATAAAGATGTCTCAGGCAACCAACTAGAGAGAGGGACACACACTCCACCATCCTTAGTCAGAAGGATAAAAGTTTTTCCTGTGTTGCTGGTCTTAAGTAACCAAAAAAATCCAAATTTTGGTTTGCATTGACTAAGGCAGGTGAGGCCACATGTGGCCTTGAAGCTGCAGGTTCCCCACCCCTGGACTAAGGCCTTTGGTCTAGGCTTCTTGGTTTTTCTCCCTAGATGGAAAAATGAGTCAACTCAAGTCTTCTGTCTGCCTAGAGAAAACAAAGGCTTGTTCCATAGGATGTAAATTGCTAAAAGAGAGTAACATCAAAGCCGCTTTTTGTTACCTAGAATTGGCAGTGAGACCATGTGCTGCCAAATTGGGCATGCTCCAGAATGTAAAAAGAAAACCCAGAAACAGCAGATTTTGATTCTTCTTGTTTCAACTTGAGATTGAAGTTTTCACACCTGGAGCAATCAGAATTAAAATAAAATTAATATTCATGGAGATGACTTTATACACTGTTGAGCATGATTGCCACTCTGGATCTTGCAAGCTGTGGTGCTGCTGGTTTTATTAATGGGTACTTATTTTTTCTTGTAGGGGTTGGAAAAACCACACTAATCCAGAAAGCCAGTGATGCTCTCAGATCACTGGGCGTGCCTGTTGATGGATTTTATACAGAAGAAGTCAGACAAGGAGGGAGAAGAATAGGATTTGATGTGGTCACGTTGTCTGGATTGAGGGGGCCTTTGTCTAGAGTTGGGTACTGATATTTAAATTGTGGGGGTTCTTCCTCTCTTACATGCTTTTTTTTTAAAAAAAAATTTGGAAGGTTTTCTGTTCTGATGAGATGGAAGCTTATTGCTCTGAGCAACTTCTAAAATCATATTCTGGGTGTCGTCATCAGATTGCATTTTCTTCTACATTCCTCCCTCTTATATATGGGTATAGTGTTTAAAGGGGGTAGGGCTTTGGGAGCTCAGTAAATGGAATCTGAATCTTTTGGTCCAGACCTTGGGCATTTTCCCAGAGAAAATGAAAACACAGAAATAGGTTTTGAAATCAGTTTAATTCTGCAAATATTTATTGAATACCTGCAGACATTGTGCTGTGTTGTGGGGAATATAAAGAAGAGAAAAACACTCCTGTCTTGGGAGAGTTGCCATATATATTATCCATGTAGATAATACACGTGTAATTCTAAGTAAAATGTGAAAATACAGGAAGAACTTCCAACAGAGTGCTGTTAGTTAAGGAGGGGAGAAATGAGGTCACTTTGGGCTGGGGAATCAGATTAAGCTCCATGCATTAAACAATCGTTAAAACACCTATGGTATGCCAGGCATTGTGCTAGGTTCTGAGGATAGCGATATAATTATGATAAAAATCCCTGCATTACAGGAACTTAGATTCTAATGGGGGAAAACTACCCTTATATAGGGGGAGGGAGAGAGGGGAGAAAACAAGCATTTATAAAGTACCTACTATGTGTCAGGCTAAGTGCTGTGTTAAGTGCTTTTACAAATATCTCATTTGATCCTTGAAACAACCTTGTGAGGTAAGTGCTATTATCCCCATTTTACAGTTGAGGAAACTGAGTCAAACAGAAGTTAAATGACTTGCCCAAGGTCACACATAGTAGGAGTCTGAGGCCAGATTTGAACTCGGGACTTCATGACTGACTCCAGGCCCAGCACTCTATCCACTGTGCTTCTAGCTGTCTCTAACATAAGCCTCTAGATACATATGGAATAGATAATGCACTGGACTTGGAAATAAGAAGAGCTGGGTTTAGAAATAGGAAGATGTGCTTTAGATATGCATTAGCTGTGTGACCCGGGACAAATCATTTAATGTCTCTAAACCTCAGTTTCCTCATCTGTTAAATGGGGTTAATAGTAGGACCTACCTCACAGGGTTGTGAGGATCAAATGAATTAATGTTTCTTGTGCTATGATGTAAGGTATTGTATTTTTATCTTTGTAGCTCCAGTGCCTAGATAGTGCCTGGTACATAATAGGAGCCTAATAAATGCTTGTTGAAAAATTGAAAAAGAAATACAAAATATGATGCCAGATTCAGTGGGGTGACGTATATAACCTCTCCAGGTCCCTCTGACATCTGGATTCAGTATTGGGCCTCCTGTCCAGTCTCTCAAAGCACTGTGTTCAGGAAAGTGGGTGGAATGCAGTCCTCACTGCGTTGTAAGGATGATTCAGCCCATGAGGGAGGGAAAGCCCCAGGGATGTAGCTGAAAATGGGACATTAACAGAGGAAACTGATATGATTTAGAGCAAACTGTTTTTTACATTTAGGTCAGAGCCTCCCGCTGGAAGACGTGAATACCGAGTGGGGCAGTATGTGGTGGACCTTCATTCTTTTGAGCAGTTAGCTCTCCCAGTGTTGAAAAATGTGAGTATTAACTGAAATCGTGTCTCCCCCAGTCTCTTTCCGTTGTCAGCAAGGGGAGGCCCGGCTGACCTTCTGACCACAGTAGTTTTTTTCTGATTCATGGAAGGCTAGTTTTACACCATATGGCATCTAGGCCAGCTGGCTGATTAGCAGTCAGGTACTATTATTAAATAAGCCCCTAGGACTTAATCACTAGAGTTCAAACAATTGTTTGTCTTCATTTATATGCAAATGAGCTATTTCTTTCCATTTTAAAACTATTTAGAGTTGTTGGTTTTAGAGCTGGAAGGGACCTTGGAGGCCCTCTACCCCTACGTTTTACAGCTGAGGAAACTGAGGTGCAGAGTGGTAAAGGAGCTTGTTTAAAGCCCCAAAGCTAGCAAATGGCACAGCCAGGATTTGAACTAAGATTTGAAAATAGAATTTCTTGACTCCCATCGCTCTGCCAAGTTGCTTCTTGCTGGAAAGGTAGGTTGAAGCCACATTGTAGAGGACATCAAATGCCTGACTATAGAATTTGTATTTTATTTCATAAACAATGGGGAGCCACTGAGGTTTTTTGAGCAGGGGACTTAGTCGGATGTGTGCATTGGAAAAGGTTTTTGTTGTTGTTGCTGTTGTTATTTGTGTCGGAGACAGTCAGGATAGGGAGGAATTGGACTACGGGAAAACAGTTAGGCCATTATGATAGTCCAAGGCAGAAACACTCAGGGTCTGAATTGAGATGGTACTGCATAGGAAAGGATGGATAGAAGATATAGAGTGGATGTAGTATTGACAAGCCTTGATAACTGATTTAATGTGAGGAGTGAGGGATAAGGAAGTGTTAGAAATGACTGAGCTTTTTGAGCCTTGGGTACATGAGAGAATAGTAGTACTCACAACAGAAACAAGGAAGTTGAGAAAGGCAGTTTTAGGGGAGAAAGACAAGATAGAAGATAAATTTTGGACATGTTGGAGTTTGGGTACCAGTGGGACATTCAGATGAAGCTAACTCTTTGAATAGTTGATGAACTATGAACTGTGGGATGACCAGTAACGATTGGAGCTGGATCTGTAGGTTTGGGAGCTGTCTCCATACTAGCACTCATTGATGTCATATGAGTGTCTGACAGCAAAGTTGGAGAGAGTATAGAGAAAGACAAGAGAGCCAAGGATAGCGCTTCAGAGAACGTTCACCTTTAGGAGATGTGAAGAGAATGATAAAATTGGTGATCGAGACGAATCGGTCGGACAAGAGGAAATTCAAAAAAGAATGATGTCATACAAGTTGATGCGAGAGGGAGGAAAGAGTGTCTCAATACCACCAAATCCGGCAGAGAAGAAGAAGAAGAATGGCCAATGGATTGGATGATAGTGGCCTTTGAGAACTGAGTTTCAGTAGAGTGGTTGAGCTAGACACCAGAAAAGGGCTTGAAGAGAGAGATTATGAGGAAGTGGTGGGAGGAAGTATAGACCATTTCTATAAGCTTAGCAATAAAAGAGAGTAGAAAGTATTTCAGTGTCAAAGGAAGGTTTTACATTGCTTTAGAAAATTTAGCCTCTGTGAACAAGTTATTCATTGAAATCATAAGTGCTCCACTCTGCTTGAGAAACTTTTATTTTTCTTTTTTTGCATTGTTGTAGGTATTGCCTTACATGGCCTTAAGGAAATTAATCCTTTGGGGAGTTCATTATCTTCTCTTATTGTTTAAATTTATATATTTCTTTATCCACTTTGTTACTGCATCTTCCCTAAAAAGAGAAATGCCATTTTTTACATTTTTTAAATGAAAGGGAATTAAATTTGAATTTTGTTTGAGAATTGAATTGGCTCACCTTGAGAAAGATAGATTTTGGAATCTTGAGAAGGGATGGGTATGAATTGCTAATTCATAAATACAAGTTGAATCTTAGCAGAAGAGTTACTGTCCAAGTATAATGTATGGATTCAACAGAAGCATGGTAAGACAGGGATGCATTTTCATAGCAGAAAGGCACTCACTTCATGCCTGAATGGTAAATCTAGAGCTTAGGAGTGACAAGGATTAAATTCATTTGTCAGGTTGTCCTTGAGCAGCCAGAGGCCTTCCCTCATCTCTCTCTCTCTCTCTCTCTCTCTCTCTCTCTCTCTCTCTCTCTCTCTCTCTCTCTCTCACACACTCTCTCTCTCTCTCTCTCTCTCTCTCTCTGTCTCTCTCTCTCTCTCTCTCTCTCTCTCTCTCTCTCTCTCTCTCTCTCTCTGTCACACACACACACACACACACACACACACACACACACCCCCATGATAGGGTCAGAAATTCAAAACAAAAACAAATAAATGTGATACAGTGGAAAGAGTACTTTTTGTAGTCAGAGATCTTCAGTTTGAATCCTAGTGCAGTTGTTTTATTGATTGTATGACCCTAAGCAAGTCACTGTATCTCCAGGTTTCATTTTCCTCATCTATGCGTTTTGGACTAATGATATCCAAGGGAACTTGGAATTCTAAATCTATGATTCTGTGAGCCCGAAATTTCAAGTTAAGACTGAGACTTGTTGACCAATCGCACGTATGTCCCTGGAGCAGTAGAGAAGCAAATTGATTTTTGTTTACCTTGCTTCAGGTGCATGCACACTGTATAGCCTGATAGAAAGGTGGCCTTGTAAATTTTTTATATTGATCTGTAAGATTGCATAGGAAGTCATTTTCCAATTTGAGTAAAGAGCTTGAATCATTTAGGAAATAATTCAAAAGTCCTCCTATCTACTTCTATCTTGATTATCGAACACAGCCTCTTACAACTTTAGGGCAATATAGGCTTCAGGTTTAAAAGCCTTAACTCTTTGCTTTCTGGCTTGTATAACTTTCGAATCATTTGTTTTCCATCTGCTCTTAAGTAGGAGGAAGTGTATTTTTTGGGGGGACTGTAGGAAAAGATGGGGAAGCAAGTTGAAACCCTGAGAAATCTGATTTGAGGAGAGGCTGTGTAAACTGGGCTATGACATGTTAGGTAGAATCTTGCTGCAGTGGTATTCAGCATTAAAGATTCCTCAATAACTCAGACTTATCATACCAAGACCCACTGTCACACAATGAAAGTCTTGGACTCTAGTTTTCCACAGAATTTTGGGGGCAGAGTTGGGGGCAAAGGGGAAGGAGATTATTTCTTCTGTTGCAGGTGAAAGTTCTCTCTTAATCCATTGATATGGAAAAAGTAGAGAGTGGGTCACATTGGAAAATCTCATATATCACATCAGATTTCAGAAAACAGCATTTCTGATGATATTAAACCTTTCAATACAATCATTATAAAATAAACATTTGAGATTTGAAATTTAATAATTTCCAAATATATGTCTTATTATCCATTAACATAGGGAGGTAAGTGTAGATTTTGCTTTTTCTGAGAGTCAGTTTGATTAATGGAAAGGGAACGAAAGTCAGAAGTCTGTTTTTAGTCGTGTTTGAGTCATGTCCAACTCTTTGTGACTCCATATGGGGTTTTCTTGGCAAAGATGCTGGAGTGGTTGCCGATTTCCTTCTCCATCTCATTTTACAGATGAGGAAACTGAGACAAATGGGGTTAAATGACTTCCCCAGGGTCATACAACTAGTAAATGCCTAGGGTTGGATTTGAACTCAGGGAGATGAATCTTCTGACTCCAGGCCTGACACTCTATTCACAGCACCACCTAGTTGCCCCAAAGTCAGAAAACGAGTTAAGTTCCGAGATTATAAGAGGCATACTAACCTCAGGTATCATGGTAATGTGATGACTGGCCTGAAAAGGCAATGGATCATAAAGTGGGTTAATAATGATAATAATTTATGTAGGCAATAGTTAAGAGTATTGGACTTAGTAAGTATTGAATTCAAATTCTATTACAGACATAGCTGTGCAACCCTTGGCAAGTCACTAACCTCTCAGCCTCAGTTTTCTCATCTGTAAAATGGGAAGAATAATAATACTCCCACCTCCCCCAGTTGTGAGGATCAAATGAAATGACATATGTGCAATGTCTTGCAAACCTTAAAATTCTATATAAATATTGCCTAGTAGTATGTCAATGTATGATAGTATTCTGAAAGTCATAGAATATTTGCTTGTAGGTCTGTGGAAGGGAAACAATGTAAAATTAACAAAATAGAAAAAAAAAGGAGGACTAATGAAACTCAATATACAGTTTAAACAATTAGAAAAGCCACAAATAAACCCAAAATAATCACAAAAGATAGAATCACACATCTAGATTGGAAAGGACATCAGGGGTCGTCTAGTACAGCTCCCTCATTTTACATAGGTGGAAATCGAAGTCCAGGGAGGTTAGGTGATTTATTCAAAGTCACACAAGGCAGTATCAGAGGCGGGGTTTGAACCCAAGTCTTCTGTCCAAACCACACTGCCGAAAGAGATTCTCAAAAATTATTTAAGAAATGAACAGATTGGGGCAAAGGGGGCTGGAGGGGAGGTGGAGAAATACTGTAGAATTGGTAAACAAAGCTAGAATCTGTTTCTTTGAAAAGAGTAACCAAATCAAGAAAACTTTACTAATCTAATCTAAAGGAAGAGGGAGGAAAATCAGGTCGCCAGAATAAAAAAATGAACAAGGTGAAAGTAATAGCAGACAAGAGATATCAGAACCTCCTATATACAAGTATTACTTTTTATCCTAGACCTGTGGTTTCACTGGTAGAAGTTCTTTGTAAGGAAACTCCTGAGTCTTGAGACCATTTCCTGGGCCTGGGTCTCTAGCCTATTGTCATACTTCTGTGTGTTAGTTACATGCCAACAACCCTGAGAAATTAAAAGAAATGGAACTATAGCCCATAAAGTATCAAATGAACGGAACATGAAATAGGTACTCTCTAAATGAGGGATGGGAAACCTGGGGCCTCAAGGCCACATGGGGCCTTCTGGGTTTTGAGGTACAGCCCTTTGAATCTGAACTTCACATAACAGATCCCCTTAATAAAATGATTTATTGGGGGGTGGCAGCTAGGTGGTGCAGTGGATAGAGCACTGGCCCTGAAGTCA